CATGTGTTGAATCTACTGTCTACAGATGGTACTATGACTGCACAGCCCAGGGGTCCAACCGTGCAGTATTTTATCTAGAGTTGAGCAGTGTGACCAAATAAATCAAGCTGATTCCTGACAGAAGTCCTATTTGCTGGAGGCTGCATCCCTCTGCATTCCTGATGGCTGCAATCCACAACATTTTTGTGGAGACAGAGTAGTCTAGAAGAGGATGGAGAGATGTGGGTTGGATTACAACCTCTGCCATTGGCTATATAGCTTTGGGTGATTCAGCTCACTTCAGTAAAGACTTGGAAATCTATGGATGAAGTGCCAAATGAATTAAATTAGGGGCAGCTCTTGAGTTCCCAATAAATACCCATAAAAAATTATGTGCCTCTGCTTTAGCAAATATGTCTATAAGAGGTGCCTTCTAGGCTTTACATGCCACAGTTAAGCTTTTAATACACTCTGGCAGATTCCAAATTCGAGCCCAGAATTTTCCAATTTTCTACATCAGAAAGGAATAGTAGCTCGTCTCCTATTTCTTCCCACTAAAGCAGGTCGTAACACCATGGGCTAATTGGCAGGAATAACTAGGCCGCACAGTAAAATGTAAAGCAAAACCAGAGCAGCTAAAGTAAACTTTTGTAGTGTTCAAACCACTCGGGTTCGGTTGAGTTTGCAGCGATGTGAATGAGAGCTGCCAAGATGTTACTTTCCTTAATATGTTAAAACGGCAGTGTTTACTTAGAACCATATGGGAACTTTAAGGATAGAAGGTCTAGCCAGAAAGAGAGCCCTGCAGGAGGGAAATAATCAGATAACTCTGTGCACTGGGGTAGAGACCAATACCACAAAAGGGTGGAAAAAGTTTTCTTCTTGCCAATGCAACAAAGACTTTCAGTGTGTGTAAACCTGAGTAAGGACTCAGTGCTGGATTCCATGCCCCATGAACACTAACAAGTTCAAAATGCTCTCTCAGGTCCAAGCCACCTCCTCTGCTTGAGCTGATACTTGAGATCTGAACCTGGTTCAGACTCTCTGTAACAAATGCCTGTTTTCATGATGATCCAGTCCATTCCTCAGTTCCATAGAGCTTTGGACTTTGTAATTCTGGTTTCACCTTAGCATATATATCTATATAGTTGTATGCTTACATGTGGGTTTCACAGCTGAGTGTTCCAAGCACCACCTGGTCCTGAGCATACTTAGTCTCATCCACTGCTATGGATAAGAGAACACAAAGGTTCCCAGTTTAAAGTTTGGGAACTGAGGCATGAACAGATCAAATGGTGCCTCCAGTCTCACACAAGAAGACTGTGTTAAAGTAAGTGGGAAGAAATCAAGCCCCAGAATATCACCCTACATGGAGGCCCACCCCCCCAGAGCAGCTCTCCTCTTCCTCCCAGCCTCTCCACTCCAGCTCTACTGCTTATCACATCTTCCTAGGGCAGCTACCCACACAGGGAGTGATGACAGCTCTAAGAGACAGAACTTATTTTAGAAACAAATTCTTGAAAGAGGCCACTGGGGGTTCTTCCTATTGTACTTACATCAGGGACAAAGGGAGGGTCCAGCATTCCTGCTTCTAACCGCTTGAAATTCATGCTCTTGAAAAATGGGTGCCTCTTCACTTCTGTCGCACCTTCCCCTTGACATCCCAACCGCTGCTTCACATCTTTGGTGAGGAGCTGAAACATGCCAAGAGGAATGGTAAGGATGTCAGAAAAGCAAGAGCTCCACAAAGATATTTTTATCTCTAGTTCGTTTTGAATGTGCCAGAGGGAAGTACAGAGGGGAATTGTAATTGCTGTTATTTAATGGTCAAAGTTAAATGGATTAGGACTGCACTGTTCTACGTGCTGGCGAAGCCCTTTGAAAATTACCTGTTGTGAAGTGTTTACAGTCAAAATAGAAACCGCTGCTTCTGCTTACTTTCATCGAACACTCTCAAGAAGAGGCCTGACATATCCTAATAACATATACAAATGCAAATTCAGAAGTCCCATGTGCTTTTTCTCAGTTCTTTTTTTTCATGTTACTTTTCCCATGCTGCTTAGGCTGGGCGACTTCACTATTAAATTTCTCCCCACCCATTGTAGTATATTCTAGTACATCACATGACACATTGAACCAACCCTTTGTGCTCATGGGCCTATCTCTGCTCAAGGGGAGTTTTGTTGGTGAAGCCAGTATCAGTAACCATCCTCAGTTCAGCCTTATTTGTGTTCAGAGAAAGGCAATGCACCACCTCTCACTGCCTGTTTCCTGGGTACCTCTAATGGAGCAACGGAGACTAACTGAACTCAGCATCCTTGGTCTATCAGATAAGGAGGTCCATGAACACAAATGCAGGGCTGGTAGGTACTGGAAAGCCTTGTATGGATGGACTAATTGATCTGCAAGAGAACAGTTCAATGAAAGAACAATTCTGGCACAGACTAGTTGGTGGATGTGGAGACAGAACATGTAGCCAGATCTTCACCAAAATGCCTCTTCATTTAAATCATACGTGTAGATTCAAGTAGGCTAAATCAATGTTAAAGAGATCACATCTAAACAGTTCAAGAGAGGTAAAGAGAAGTAGAGTTCAGCATGCAAATGACTGGTGCAAAAAAAGCATCACTTGGGACAAGGTCCTTTCTAAAGGTACTACTGACTGCAGTGAAGGTTGATAAATTTGCTTTCTTTCTTCCCTTCTATTTATCTTTGAGGAAGTCTGCATGGTGCTCTCTTAGATAGAGGGAAAAATGTAACTCTGAACTCACGATAATCTGCCCAGAGATTTCAACTGCCTGTTAAAGAGATGCATAACTTGTGCCTTAGTACAACGGAAAACTAAACATGCATTGAAAACAGTCGAGGTTAACTTCGCTGAGTCTCCACTTTGGAGGAAAAGACTTCATACATCCATGCAACATCATGGAGGA